GCTCAATGAAGATGAGGAAATAACGCGAGATGCACTCTAGAATGCTTCCACTGTTTCTAACAAGGGTGCTTGAAAGTTGGGTTAGAGGTACTGCTATCTTAATATGGATTTGGAATTAACAAAGACAGATTGTTATCAATCTGTGTAATTAATATATAACGTACTTCCTCCAAAAATAATGGAAAGTGCAATGCATGAAATTATAATTGCTTAAATTGCTTAAATTCTATCAAATGCATATTAAAATATGTTTCATAGGCAAATATGACATGAGTTATTTGTCAACAAATAGCATAAAATTGCATTTAGAATTCGTAAAGTAACTTGGAGGAGTAGTTCATTTTGGCTAAAAATGAAGCATTTTTCAACACAATCATTCATTTCACCCAACCAGCTAATGATTCATAAATAAAACAAATTCTATGATAAAATGAAAAATGCGAATACATTCTTTGCAACTAAGGTGAAAGCACACAAGTTGAAAGTTGATTGATACTTTCTAGCTGTCAATGCTAGCATTTCTTGCAGCTGATCAAGTTAACAAAGGGCCTAAAATATCTTCCAGCCAATAGGGAAGCACCTGGCAGCAAGCGGACGTGGCCATGGAGTTGACTAGTGAGATGATAGAACAATTGATAATCTCAACTGCAGTCCCCATATTGAGGAAGAGAGATACACAAGCAAACTTTTTTCCCCTTGTCCCTTTCCTGACTATGATAAGTCTCAAGAACCTTTAAGAGAGTCTCTTTCAGTATTCCTTCTGATTGGTGGAGAAATGGCCTCACGTAGACAGACAGACGAGAAAATCGAATTCTGCCACCCTCTCAATTAACCAAACATAACCATCCCAATTGACTAAGTCTGCAGCGGTAGGCATCAAATCTGTGACTTCCGACTTCATGGTCGGACATTTAACTATCGCTACACTGATGCGAGCCTTTATCTCAAGTTCTTGATAGTTCTTTATCATGGCTCAAAATAATTCCCAATTTCCCTAGGACTTTTTTTACACCGAATTTATACCCCAGTGCTACATTTCCCACTTTGAAGTGGCATGAAGTTGTTCCATCGAGTACTTAAGCTTTAACACACATTTTAATAGACTATTAAAAGTCATTTCCACATTCTAAAAATTCAGATCAAATCTTTGTTTTTCATTATTTCCAACTATATGATTGCACTTTAGGTTTTCGTCAATCACATTGGTGGGGTAAAGATATTTCGGTAATATATTTCCTGGAAATATATTATCTTTTTAGTTTTATGTTGACCAGTATTGGCTAGCTCAATTCTTAATTTCTGCCACTGTTTATGCTTAAGCAAAAGATGACTACTACTACTACAACTACTACAACGGCAAATTCAATACCCGAAATTAAACCTCACTTGTTATATGATTCAACGCCCTCAATATCGAATTCCTTTTCAACCTCCACAATATGCAGCAAATGGTGAGATATAACATGACGATTTGAAGTCTCGACCATGTAATCAACGGTGTAGTTACGATCTCCATCTGGATCGAGCACGTCTTCTGGGTAGAGATCACGAGGATATGGTCGTGGAAGAGCCAAAAGTTTTCGACACTTTGCCTTCTTCCATTTCATTATAGACCGTGCGGTTGAGCGGAGACGGTCCACTTTAGTTTCTCCTAAAAATAATATTTCTAATGAGCGGACACTTTTATAAATCATGATTTTATCATCACAAATGGATACTTTAGTCAAAAAATATTTGGCCTCTTTATTTCAATAATTGAGTAATTCTCCGGCGTTGAACTTTATCAAGATCAAATTGACATGTGATTTTGAATTATGAATTCGTAAATTTCATGGAGCATAATTGGACCTCTGGATGCGGTTTTTTTAAACTGAATCTAATCAATAATAGTTCTGTAAGGAACCAGAAAAATTTCAAAGTTTGCCTGGTTCTCTAATAATGCCTGGAGTGTGCGATTGACTTACCTCCACGTGGTGCACACTGGGCAACGTATATTCATGCGGCAAAAAAGTCTATTAACTGGCAGTTGACTTCTCACTTCAAACTACCATCTCCTCACTCTGTGCCATATTGGACTATTTCCACAGTACTCACCTCACCTTTGTTCTACCTTTGTGTCTGTCTCTTAAACATCTTTGAAACATTCTTCTTTTCCCCCTCCCCTTCTCGCCTTTTTTCAACTTGATGTTCCTTCCCCTCTGTGAAGCCTGAAGTCAACTAAAGGGCTAATGATAACCATCAAGACGCCTGCCATTTGATATTAATAAATAATAATGCATAAATGGCTTATTAGTAATAAGTAGGCACAGCGAGTCTTGAACAGGAATGTGAGCTTGAAGTCAAGTTTTTGTGCCGCTCACACCCATGTTACTCAGAAGGTGTGCTTCTCTCATGCTACTTTCGCAGACCGACTCCCATTGATTACTACTTAGATGATAGTGCATACTTGGTGTACTAAGCCAACATTTGGTTTCCACTTATTCTC